CTGAAGAGTGTTTTCCAACTTGGTTCCATTTTCCCCCTCACTTTCAGGCACCCCAATCAGACGTAGATTGGGTCTTTTTACATAATCCCATACTTCTTGCAGGCTTTGTTCATTTCTTTTTCTTCTTTTTTCTTTTGGTTTCTCTTCTCGCTTCATTTCATTCATTTGATCCTCAATCGCTGACATTCTTTCTTCCAGTTGATCGAGTCGGTTACTGAAGCTTGTGCATTTGTCACGTATTTCTCGTGTCATGGTTTTCGTCTCCTTCATTTCGTTTATGACCTTCTCTGCATTAATTACTCTAGCCATCAATTCTTCCACTTTTTTTTCAAGATTTTTAGTTTCTTTGCGCTGGGTACGTAATTCCTCCTTTAGCTCTGAGAAATTTGATGGACTGAAGCCTTCTTCTCTCATCTCGTCGAAGTCATTCTCCGTCCAGCTTTGATCCGTTGCTGGCAATGAGCTGCGCTCCTTTGCCGGGGGAGATGCGCTCTTATTTTTTGAATTTCCAGCTTTTCTGCCCTGCTTTTTCCCCATCTTTGTGGTTTTATCTGCCTCTGGTCTTTGATGATGGTGATGTACTGATGGGGTTTTGGTGTAGGTGTCCTTCCTGTTTGATAGTTTTCCTTCTAACAGTCAGGACCCTCAGCTGTAGGTCTGTTGGAGATTGCTTGAGGTCCACTCCAGACCCTGTTTGCCTGGGTATCAGCAGCAGAGGCTGCAGAAGATAGAATATTTCTGAACAGCGAGTGTACCTGTCTGATTCTTGCTTTGGAAGCTTCCTCTCGGGGAGTGTACTCCACCTGTGAGGGTGTGCGGGTGTCAGACTGCCCTAGTAGAGATATCTCCCACTTAAACGCTACTCAGTCAAGGGACCCTTAAGCAAGGAGTCTGTCCCTTCTCAGAACTCAACCTCCGTGTTGGGAGGATCCACTGCTCTCTTCCAGGCTGTCCTCAACCTCCGTGTTGGGAGATCCACTGCTCTCTTCAAAGCTGTCAGACAGAGTCGTTTGCGTCTACAGAGCTTTCTGCTGCGTTTGTTATTGTTTACTGTGCCCTGTCCCCAGAGGTGGAGTCTACAGAGACAGGCAGGTTTCCTTGAGCTGCTGTAAGGTCCACCCAGTTCGAGCTTCCCAGCAGCTTTGTTTACCTACTTAAGCCTCAGCAATGGCGGGCGCCCCTCCCCCAGCCTCACTGCTGCCTTGCCGGTAGATCACAGACTGCTGTGCTAGCAATGAGGGAGGCTCCGTGGGTGTGGGACCCTCCCGGCCAGGTGTGGGATATGATCTCCTGGTGTGCCTGTTTGCTTAAAGCGCAGTATTGGGGTGGGAGTTACCCGATTTTCCAGGTGTTGTGTGTCTCAGTTCCCCTGGCTAGGAAAAGGGATTCCCTTCCCCCTTGCGCTTTCCAGGTGAGGCAATGCCTCGCCCTGCTTCAGCTCTCGCTGGTCGGGCTGTAGTAGCTGACCAGCACCAATCGTCTGGCACTCCCCAGTGAGATGAACCCAGTACCTCAGTTGAAAATGGAGAAACCACCGGTCTTCTGTGTCGCTCGCGCTGGGAGTTGGAGACTGGAGCTGTTCCTATTCGGCCATCTTGCTCCGCCCCCCCCCCAACAGAATATTAAAGTACTCCCTCTCCCATATTCTTGGCAACTTTTAGCAAAACTGACATGTTAGGTTAAAAAAAAAATAATGTAACATTGTTTTGATTGAATTTTCCTGATTTCTAGTAAGGTTAATCATCTTTTTATATATTGATTGACTATCTGTACTTCTTTTGTTAACTACTTACTCAATAAATTTTGTCATTTTCTAAAGGACAATGTATCTTTTTCTTCTGAATCTTTAACAATTCTTAATAGTCAATGTTAATATTATACATGCCATAATTTTCTGCAAATTCATCACTTATTTGTTATCTTTTACTACATAAAGTATTTAAATATTTCTTTAGTCAAATCTATCAAATTTTTCCTTTATAACCCCCGGTTTTGTTTAACATTTTTAGATATTATAATTGCCTAGATTTTACGTGGTATCTCAAAGTAGGACAAATACAGACCTATGAGTTGCAGAAAGCATATTCTATCAGTTTGCAAATGCTTTACGAATTAGAAAATATTTGAGGAGCCAGACGAGGTCCTAGGCTAAATGAGAAAATATATAAAAGACGAACAGAAAAAAGTTGGAGAAGGGGAAGGTGATTCAACAGTCTAACAACTACTGATACACAACAATGATTTAAGCACTGAGAGGGAAAAGAAATAGAAGACACATTCACTCATCTGCCTTCCAGAAGTTTGCAATTCAGGTGGAAGCCAAAATTTTTTAAGTAACTTTTAAGCAGTAATGACTGAAGAAAAAAATTGGCAATGGGCTTCAAGCCAATGAAGTCCATGGAGTTGACAGCTTACTAGGAAAGATAATTCTGATGGGTCTCAAAAGGGGTGGTGAGCTGCAACTCTACCTCCAAAAAATGTTTAAACTTTCCCTGAAGTGTAAAAAACATAAAAAAAGTACTCCTATAATAATTAAAAAGCTCCATGAACTTTTGCAAAATAAACTCACCTGTATAACCAGTGCTCAGCTCAAGAAAAAATACATGACTAGCACTCCAGAAGTCTCTCCCACTTCCTTCTAGTACTCCCCAAAAGCCCAGACTGGTTTTAGTTACTTTTGTATTTTGTAAAAATGGAACAATATAGAATGTACTTCTTTCTTCTCAAAAACATGCTTGTGACACTCAAAGAACTGAACATAGTTGTAGACTGTTCATTCCCATTACTGTATCATTTTCCATGGTGTGAATATGCTAATATATCCTTTATCCATTATACTGAAGATGGGTAGTCTGTATAATTACTAGTTCTAGGCTCTTATAAAAAATACTGCTATAAACATCCTAGAACATATCTTTTGGGGAACATGTTTTAATTTCTGCTGGGTATACACTAGAACTGTTGAGTCGTAGAATATACACATGTTCAGCTTTAGCAAATTTAACTAAATAGTTTTCCAAAGCAGGTGTAAAACTCCTTTGGCAGTGAATGAGAGTTCCAGTTTGCCACATTTTTGTGAACACTTGTTATTTTCCACTTTTTTCATTTTTAGCCATTCTGGTGATTACATAACAAACAAAATTATTATGGATAATATGAAACTCCAGATAACAGCAAATCTCTCACAACACAAGATTAAATAATGAGAAGTATGTAGCTTTTTAGAACAACAGAGAGATAATAGTGTTATAAAAAACTCATTTCACTAATAAAATGATGGGGGAAGTAAACACTTATTAAAGAACAGACCAAAAAATTGCTCAATCATGGAGCCACCAAATAGTCCTTAAAAGTGGGGGGAAACAGAAGAAAAGACAGAAAGTAGGAAGCATGGTGAGTAAGTGACCAACGGTCTGGAAACTATAACCTACATCTTGAGTTCTCTCATTAAATGTTATGGTCCATCCTTTTCTATAAAGACAATAGCTATTTTATTTCAGGAGTATGAGTTTCAGTAAATTTTTAATTAAAAAATAACATAAAAATATATTTCAGCAAGAACAGAGCTTTTCCTATGTGCCATAGTATGTATATAATTTCCTATCCGTACCATGGAAGATACATTTCTTTAAAAACCAAGCATGTACTTATAATTAAAAAAAAAATACCAAGCACAATCTGTAATAATTCTACCATACATCAGTCTAATAATTAACTGTTTAAAAATCCCAGGCTTTCCCTTAAACTACTAAAAAACATCCTGGCAAAAAGGGAAAACAACAAATGACTTCTATTTTGCAAGTGACCAGGACTAAGATGTGGCCTCAGCCACATGCTCCTGGAAAATGAGGACCATATCTTGCAACTTATCACAGCCCTTCTCTACAGATTTAGAAGAGTAGAACTCTTAGCAGAAAGTTCAATAAATCCTACTCGTCAACATGGTAGATCTGTAACTATTGACCAAACTCTTATATATGCTTTTCATGGAGCTGGTTAAAAAAAGTGATTAGGTATTTATATATTTAATTCTGATAGACCTAGTTCAAAATGCTTAATCAATTTTTAATAAGACTTTATAAACAGGCATAGATTAAAAAATTATATAAAAACAAACACTATGAACTTCAAGAATAAAATAGCCACAAACTATGTTCAAGATCATCTGTAAAACAGAGAAAATCTTTCTTTCTAAGTAAAGTTTTAGCTTATTATTTCTCCAAAGTTCACTGGATGAGATTTACATATGATTACTCCAACCAGTGAACCACAAAATGCTAACTCTTTAAAGACAGGTAAGTGGTGACCACCTCAAAAAAAAAAAAAAAGCATGATGTTCTAGGAGTTTATTTGTTTGATGTCTTTAAGGTTAGAATATATAACATGTGTAAGTTATATCTATCTTAGATATTTTATACTTAACAGAGTAATACAGTTTATAAAACGTACATATTTGTAGTTGATTATGTAATTTATGAACTCTGAGAATTCAATTAATAAAAAATTTTAAAGTGTTATGAAGTATAAAAATGACTGAAGCATACATAAGAGCTTTAAGAAACCATTAAAAATGCTAATGAAACACTGGAGGGAAAACAACCAGGAAACTGAAAGAAAACTTTTTGATGGCAAAGAGTTTTTCACTGAAAAGACAAGAGTTGTTGGAAATGAAAAACAGAGTTAATGCCACAGAACTAATCAAAAATAAATACTGACTATAAATAATCAACAATCAGTCATCAACATGGAAAAGCATAGTACAGTGCCACAAGTGTGAATCGCTATTAAATTCCAGATAATTCTAAATTGTTTTCTTAAGAGATCATGATCAGATTTGTTAAGTACTATATTTCAACAGAATGGCAATGCTGCATTACAAGGAAATCACAGATAAATAAAATATGTTAACAGTTTACAAGTACTAAGATTTTCTAGTCCAACGCATGTTATGTCAGGTACAACTAGTCACACTAAAAATAAAATGCTAAAAACTCACTCACTGTCTTCTGTGGGAAGGACCTGTAGGGAGTAAATCCACTCTATTATATCATCTTTGTTCACCACATCTAAGGAATCCAACATATCCAGCCCGGAGAGTGCAAAAAATGCAATCGTCAACCTAAAAGAAAAAAATGTAAAATTCCACCTTAACTATCAAACCACTTAAGTCTGAAGTCTTTCTGGTCTAGAAAAATAATAAAATCATTCTAATTTTCCAATAATTTAAACAATACTTCCACCTTACAAAAGCATATATATATGTGTGTGTGTGTGTATATATATTCTTGTAACTTAATATTATCAGTCAAGCCTTTGTTTCAATTTTTCAAAAGGGGACATTTGGGAGTTAAGAAACCAGTCCTACCCCACTGACACAAACATGACCCACTAAAGCCAGAATATCAGCAAACTGAAGGCTAAAGTAGATTTAAAAAAGGATTCTCTACAACTAATCAGTACAAATAGTACAGGGCTTAGAAATATATGAAAATGTCAATTTTCACTAATTTGTCAGGATCAATTATACTTATAGCTTATATTAAATTCTGGAGGAATATGAGAATAGTATCTTAATTCAAAGCTGTTAACAAATAATATGACTCCTTGGGAAAAGATTTATAATAAGTTTTGAAAAATACAAAACATTTAAAAAAAATACAAATGTACTTACAGTCTATTTTCCCAGAGAGGAGCACTCTTTGGTGGAATGAAAAACTATAGAGCAAAACCTTCCCCCTCTAAGACTGTACACTATAAATTGGAAATCTAAACCTGTGCTTTCATATAAAAATCAGTATCTTACTGATTGCTCTGAACACACAGAATCTGTTATACATAATTCTTTTCATGTTGAGAAGCAGTCTCTAGTATAGCTTGAGTACTGTTATATCACTTCCATAATCTAACAATTCATATGACTAATAGTAATAAATTAATATTTCAAATTATCTGGTCTAAAATTTTACAGCAGAGCTACCTGATCTATTCTGTAACTTTTTCAATGAAGATTTTAAGAAAGAATGAAGCCTTAATGCCCTGAGGTATCCACTGTATGTAACAAATTTACTTCTCTCCTATGCATCTAGAATAGTATTATCTATAGATAGACAGAATAGTACTACAGGTTTAGTATCCCTTATCTGAATTGCTTGGGACCAGAACTGTTTCAGATTTCAGATTTTTTTAAATTTTAGAATATTTGCATATACATAATGGATGATATCCCACTGGGACAGGACCCAAGTCTAAATATGAAATTCATTTAAATTTCATATACATCTTACACACATGAAGCTTATTTTATATAATAGTTTAATAATTTTGTGCATGAAAGTTTGTGTTCAGTACTTATGTGTGGAATTTTTCACTTGTGGCATCATGTCAGTGCTCAAATCATTTCTGATTTTGGAGCCTCTCAGAGTTTTCGATTAGGGATGTTTAATCTGTACCAACTTTAGGAGAAATGAGAAAATAGTGATTTCTTTCTTTCTTTTTTTTTTTTTTTTTTTTAGGGCATAATTATCTCTATGATCCCTGGTGGAAAAAGACTAGCAACCATCAGATAACAGGAGGAGATATCAGAAAGTAATTTAATTCCAACCAAAGCTTAAGGACAAAAAGTAAAACTAAAGAGATTTGGGTACACTTAAGAACAATAAATATTTGGGAAACATATTATTGAGAGACTATTACTATGTATTAGTCAAAGAGCTGGGACATTTCTCATATATTATCTCAGTTTAATCCTAACAACACACTGAGATCTATCTGAATTAGAAAGGTAATTTACCTAGGTAAGATCAGGATTATATTAAGGGCAGTGGAACTCCTTTATGTGGAAAGCAGTGTTGCACAGTAGTTCAAAGCTCATACTCTGCAGTCAAATGACCTGGGTTCAAATTCCAAGTTGGCCAATTTCACTAGACTGACCACGTGACTCTGGGGAGGATACCTAAATTTTTCTAATCAGCTTCTGATAATTATTTCAATCATTACTATACCTTATACAGTTATTGTGCTTACCTGCTCACAATAAGCACTCAATACATGGAAGCCATTATCATTGGTCTGCCATAATTTGGAGGGACAGGAGTAACAATGACTTTAGGATCTAATTACACTCTATAACACTATAGGCCTTTTCTACAGACTCTCGGTTGTAACCATTTTCCCCAGAGGAATGTGCTTCTCCAAACACAATGATACTTTAGACATGGGAAAAACCTCTACATAATAGCAACAAAGTTTGAAAATCACTGCCCTTGGTGGTAATTATGTCTCATGAGATAAGGTCCACTTTGTTTGTATGCACTCAAATATTTACTGAACTAATAAAGGCTCTGCAATACTATATCTAACCCTCCTGGAGAGCTCTAACAGGGTTTTTGGGTTTGATGTAACATATAAAGTGAATGATTATCTTTATAGTCAGGTACAATTAGCATCTACTAATGTAGTTTATTAAAGCGTCATTAAGGAAAAGGACAAAAAGAAGACAGAGACAAAAGTGGAGGAAAACATGAAGGACTTGAGGTCGGATAGTGGATAAAACAAAGATCTTCCTGTCAGTAAAAGCGATGTAGTTAGAGAATTTATGCAAAAGGCTGTAAAAACAAGGTGGGATTTTTTTCCAAATTAACAAATTCAGAAATGATCTAGTCCATCTCTTTAATTTTCTAACTGAAGAAAATAAAATCCAAAAAACTCAAGTAATTTACCTGAAATTTCAACACTGGACAATCAAAACTACTCAAGAAGTCTAGGTCCCAAAATGGTGTTCTCCACAGGGGTGCTTCTCAAACCTGGCTGCTCATTAGAATCTGCTTAAAAACGACCAAAATACTACAAACATAACATAGAGATCAAGGTCCTACTTCACAATCAAATCTATGGGTGTAAGGTGGGGTCTGGGCCCTTTGGGTTTGTTTTTGTACTTAATTTCCCCGGTAATTTTAATGTGCAGGCAGGTTTCAGAAGCACTGTTCTAGAACAGTGGTTCTCTACTGGGAACACTGCCCCTAACGTTAACACATCAGAATCAAACATTCTTGGTTGTCACAGTGGAGAAGGGAGTTACTGGCATCAAGTGGGTAAAAGCCAGGGCTGCTGCTAAATGTCTACAACACACAGGACAGGCCCATCATACAACCAAGAATTATCTCATCTAAAATGTCAATAGTGCTGAGGTTGAGAAAACCTGCTTTAAAGTCATACTCTTATCTGTATATGTTATCTGAATGATCTGTTTGTCATGTTACTTGCTCCTGGATATGAACGCACTATTTATACGTAAGTACCAAATACAAAAAATCAGTCATGTGATGGTATTTTAAAATCTTGCATACTTAATTATTACAGGCTCCTGAAAGTCCAGCATTTTCAACTCATAGATGAAGACTTAGGTTGAGACCATAAGGTTTATGAGATTAACAGAGTTATGGTGAATGGCTTATGTTTATAAAGAGAGGTCCCATCAGAAACGCTTGGCAGAAAGAACCAATCAGTCACTTTGGGGCAAATATCTGGCCTCCCTTTAAAATAGTCTGGGAAACCATTCCCCTTCCGATCACACCAGAATTCTCAAGTAGACCTAAAACTGAAAGAAAGAGAATTAAAACAAGCCACAAAAAACACAAAGGAATTTTGGGCTGCGGGCCTCTGAGAGAAATAATATAATGTAGGGTTTTATGGTTCCTAGATGACTTCTACTTGGGAATAAACTGCTGGGCAACCTGACTCAGCACAGGTGTATAGAGGGGTAATTGTGCGAACACATGCACCTAAAATCAAGCCAATGAAGTTATTTTTACTTTATTACTTCTTTCTGAGAATATCTGTTTATTCTCTTTCTTTCTTCTTTTCCCTAGAACTCAATCTGAGTCTGCAGCCTAAGTAGAAATAAGCAAGCAATACCTTTCTGTTCACCCCTCTTCTACCACTCTGAACAATATGTATAAGAAGTTTATCTTACAAGGATGAAAAACTAACATCCCCCAACCCCCAATCAAGTCGCTTCACCAAAGAATCAATTCACAGACAAGAGGGTTAACCTAAGTGTCTCCAAAAGATGTCAAATATTCCAGGCTTAAGAACACACATACCCCAAAGATAAAATAAGAACAACAAGAAAGCTGGGCACAGCGGCTCACTCCTGTAATCCCAGCACTTTGGGAGGTCAAGGTGGGCGGATCAACTGAGGTCAGGAATTCTAGACAAGCTTGGCCAACATGGTGAAACTCCATCTCCACTAAAAAAACAAAAAGTCAGCGAGGCGTGGTGGCGGGTGCCTGTAATCTCAGCTACTAGGGAGGCTGAGGCGGGAGACTCACTTGAACTCGGCAAGTGGAGGTTACAGTGAGTTGAGGTTGCAGTGAGCTGAGATCGTGTCATCGCACACCAGCCCGGGCAACAACAGCGAAACACCGTCACCAAAAAAAAAAAAAAAAAAAAAAAAAAAAGCATGAAAAACAGTCTATAGTCTGGACAGTGGAAAAAAGAACTTAGTCATACTGATTTAAGGAATATATTGAAAACACTAATTTATGACAGTTGACTAGATTCCCAAACTTTGGATCACTTGTCCTGACCCTTTCTGGTGCAACCCCTTCCTTTCCCAGTCTCTCCAAGTGTCTTAAACAATGGACTACATTCATGTCTAGATACCAGATGGGCCTATGGCTACATCATATTGCAGAGTTCTAAAATTATAAACAAGCATCTACATTAAGAAATAACACAAATAAAATTGATAACCATGTCATTGAAGAGAGAGCCTTAGAGGATATATTAAACTTAATCATGAAGTTAAAACACTAGCACATAGATGCTGCCATAATACTTCGAAACAAATGACTGAAAGACTGCACGAATTCTGGAATTTGAAGCATTATTCTTCATTTACAATTGTTTTTCAATGGCTGATTCATCTGGTAAATACTTTTAAGTACAGTCACATATCTGTGAAATTACTTAACTTGTAAAATAGTTTTTCTACTACCATAATTTTTCAGTAAGAAACATCTACTGAACACCTACTAGAGATTAGATGTCACGACAAAAATGAATAAAGCTTCCTAACCTTAAGGAGGTTACATGTTAAGTGCTATTATAGAAATCATCTTCTTCCTTTCTCAACTGGCTCCTTTTGCCTTTTATTCTCCAGACCAGATGGTAGTTCCAATTCAAGAATCCTGGGACTCCTCCTTCTTCTTCATCCCCTCTTCTCTAGCCCTACTTCACTCCCTCAGCATCTCTCTCCTGGAGTACCACATCAGTGGCCTCACCGGTCTCCTTGGTTCTGGTCCTGTACCATGTGATATATGGCTATACAAATGACTATTCCTGTCACTTACATGATATCCAACTCATGTTTCTAGATAAGCACACAAAGCTTTCCACGATCTGATGCATGCCTACCTCTTTAGATTACATTCCTACCACATCCCTTTACATTCTGAACCACTACTAGAGAACTAAGTGAAGTTTTCTGCTCAACACTCACTTCTCCAGCTTTATTCTTCTTATTGTCCATTTGCAGCAACAACAACAACAAAACACTGGAACACATTCTTTAAGATTTAGCTTTGCGGTTACTTCTTCCAAGAAGCCTTCTCTAGTGCCTGTCTCTCTTCGGGCTGAGCTACTTAGGTACTTTCAGAATGCCCTCAGAATATCACAATCATTTTGTGTAGTCAGGGGATTAGCCATATCAGAATCATCTGGGCACTTGTCAGAAATGCAGCATCTTCAGCTCACATTCAGCATCACACTCCTCAGCTACTGCAATATACTTTAATAGACTGCTTCATGCAACACTGCACCTCTTTTGCCTACCATTAGATTTATAGTTCCCATAAAGTAAATTTCTAAGACCTTAAAGGTTCTCTGCTGCTCCTACACATAAAACACCATACAGACACTCCATTAAAAGTCAATAACTTTACAGAGGACAGGGATGCACAGGAGTATTCATCTAAAAATACAATGACGCAGGCTTATGCAATCAGAATCTGCATTTTAACAAGATCCCCAAGTGATTCACATGCCCATTAGAGTTGGGAATCACTGCTGTAATAACTGCGTATTTGTTTCTACTATAAGGCAAACAGTCTCTAACTTTAGCCTGCATTAGAACCACCTGAGATGCTTGTTATAATGCAGACTCCCAAGGCCCATACAGAAACCAGTGAAGGTCTGGGAAGGGGCCCAGGTATGCGCATTTTTATAAGCACATACAAGTCATTACTTAGAGCCTCGGACCACTACACTTTCAAAGATGTACTGCTAGACTGTGATATATTTAAGGCAACGGGCGCGGTGGCTCATGCCAGTAATCCCAGCACTTTGGGAAACTGCGGCGGGTGGATCACAAGGTCAAGAGACCCAGACCATCCTGGCCAACATGGTGAAACCCCGTCTCCACTCAAAATACAAAAAATTAGCTGAGCGTGGTGGCACACACCTGTAGTCCCAGCTACTCGGGAGGCTGAGGCAGGAGAATCACTTGTCCCAGGAGGCGGAGGTTGCAGTAAGTAGAGATGGCACCACTGCACTCCAGCCTGGCGACAGAGTGAGACTCTGTCTCAAAAAAAAAAAAAAAAAAGCGAGGAAATGAAAGAACAAAGTAGTTGCAGAATGGGAGGCAGCAGAGAGGTTACAACACAGGATACATAGGGGAAAATAGAGGGACATGAGAATACGAAGACTAGCTAGATTGTAAATGCCTTGTGAAATAAAAGCTAACTGCTTAAACCCTTCTTCTAGAACAGCTGACTGTAAAAATAACAGAAAATTGTCACTAATTTGTTCCTTAATAAAAAGGACTACTCTAATTCCTATTACCCAAATACATATGGCAACAATAACTCATAAACCACACTAAACTCCCCAAACTACTTATAAAAGAAACCTGGTGACTGATAAAGCTCCCAATGCAAGATATAATATTCACTTGAGTTCTAAACTAGTAACTATCATTTTAAGAAGTCAATATAAAAGAAAAATCCCTGATGAAACAATAGACAATACACTTTTTATTTTCATAAAGTTATCGTCACTAGAAAAGTAAAAATTATTCCTATTGGTCAGGCTAAAAGAAACAGGAAAATAAGAGTAATTTTGCCAAAATGGTGAATCAGAAAATAAGTGTCTAAATATCCAGTCTGATATTAGCCTTCTCAAAAGTCAGCTTTTTCATACCTATTGGTAAAAACAAATGAACAGAGGAACACTTGAATCATTGGTTTAACACTGTATCCCTGTACCTAGACACACGGGGAGGCACTCTATGAATGACTGTGGAAATTAACTAGGTAAGACTTGTGGCTTGCCCAATGTATTGTTTTGTCTTAAAAATCAGCAGAAACTTTGTGACCAGTCACCTTTGCTGAAAAGGTTGGAGTTTCTTCACAAGCATTTTAAAGTCAGTTATGAATCACATGCACCACAAAAGAACTTAGTGCTAAAAAAAATAAAGTCTGTGAGTTAGGAAAGAGAAAAACTTAAAAAACACTACAGAAACCGATATATGCAGTTATCTTAAATGCAGTTATGTGGGCTATAAGAAAACCAAAATGACGTAAAAATTCTATTCATGTGACGAACATTAGACAAAAAAGATATAATATTGCTTAACCAATGCACTAAGGTGTTATATATCTGTTACCTAATATGTAACACTTGGTGTCGACCCTATGCTTATACTGAAGTTAAATAAGTCAGAAATTTGTGCTGTTTTACTTATGCTGTGAACGGAATTACACAGTTTAATGCCAAAGTACATTTATTCTATTTGGATTTGTCCAAGCTGGAATTTTATAGAACAGGCCAAACACATTCGCACCTTGAAAATGCAATCACAGACTTACAGTGATAGCTGCAAGCAAAGTTCAACTGTTTAACAATCACAATTTAATCAGCTCACAAGACTTATACACTGCATGTATCCAAACAGTGTATGTATACGATAAATATGTACATTATGTATCAATAACAAAAACAGGATGGAAGACTTTTTATACAAACGCTTTGAATCACATAAAATTAATCCCCATTAAGATATAAATGATTTATCAACATTTTAAAACATCTCATATCACTACAATCATAATCTTTCGGTATGGAAATCTGAATCTCTCAGTGAAGGTATGGGCTCTGCTAATCAATCAACAACTATGGGAGAAGGAAGGAATACACACGTTTCACTCTTTTGTAAGAATCTGTTCATCCTTCAGGGCTCAGGTCACATTATTCAACAAATATTTCTTAGTGCTTCTCATATACCAGGTACTATTTAAGGATCTAGTGCAAACTAAGATGTTGCAAATGTTGAAATAGAAACAATTGCCACTGGCCAATATGGTAACTGAGCACTTGAAGGGTGGTAGCTACTGCAAACAGAGTAACTTAATTTTTAATTTTAATTAAAAATGTGGCTAGTGGCCACCAGATTGGACAGGGCAGCCCAGTCCTAAGTATAGAGGTAAACAAGATAGACAAAAATGTTACCTTTGTGAAGTTTATAATCCAGTGTAATAAAAAGATATTAAACAAATAAACCAATAAATACATAATATTTAAGGTGGTCTTGGAAGTGGTCCCTTTGGGAAGGGTGTTTAAGGAAGGCCTCTCTAAAGAAATCTGGATTATGTACATGCCTGTCTATATACTCTTATGAACCCTACACTAACATATAGCACAGAAATCTATACAAATGCTTGTCTTGTTCAGCTGTACTCTAGCACCTACCATAATAGTTCTTGACCAAGTGTGCAGAAGTAATCTGCAAAGCTCCCCAAACTGATCCAGTCATATAGTGTTCAAAATACACCAGTAACTCAGAATTTAGAAAACGTGGGGAGAGAACACAGCAAAAACAATCTGCTCTTTCCTCCCATCCAGTCTCAAGCAGCTTTTGAGCCTCACTTCAAAACACAGCATTGCGGAGCAAAGATCGCCTTCTCCTTTCTTCTCATCCCCGGCTTCTACTGTAAATGAAGTCGCTTAGCCTCTGCCGCATCACAGTCTTCAGCTATTGCAATACTTTGAACAGGCTGCTTCACGCAACACCGCACCTCTTTCGCCTACCATTAGATTTATAGTTCCCATGAAGTTTCTAAGACCTTAGAGGTTCTCTGCCGCTCCTACATATAAAACACCATACAGACACTCTATTAAGAGTTAATGACTTTACAGAGGACAGCGATGCATAGGAGTATTCATCTAAAAATACGACGACAAACTTTGTCCTTTTCCTTTCACACTCGGAAGTAATGAGGCAAAGCGACAGGCTATGGGAAGGAGTAAAAAAGAAGCTCAGAGTTGCCAGAAAATAATGGGAAGTGAAAACGGCGGAAACTGGAGATTCTACAGCCCTGGATGTACAGCCTTCCAGACCTTCCCACCGTACGGCGGGGGAGTGAGAGTAACCTCAAGCCGGCTTGAAACCAGTCAGTGCCAGGTGGGCGGCGGCGCAGTCCCCCTCGGGCGCCCAGTTTGCGGTCCAACTCCGCCGCGCCTTTCCGCTGGGGCCCGGGCCTTGTGCCAGCCTGGCTGACTGTGCCACGAGTTACCTGCTTGTCTCGAGCGAAGAATAGCGCTCCGGCAAAACCTGGAGGCAGCGCTGGAAAAATCGCACGTGCCGATCCCGCAAGAAATCCAGCCGCTCCCCCTCACCGTTCCCTGCTAGCCTCTCGTCTTCAGTGGCCGCCATGCTGCTCCGGAAGCGACGTCCGCCGCGACCCGGAATCAGTTGGCGCGCGGAATGAAAGAACCCTCCTGGGCTGACCCGGAGGTGCCGGGTGAGGGGACCTGCGCTCGCCGCAGACTAAGCCAGTATTTGAAACCGCTATCATCTGGGTCTTGTGCAGCACTTCCTCTCTCCGATATCTCCTTAGCTAGAGCATGACCCAGCCATTTCTACCCAAAGCCCTCGAGGCTTGTAAACACCTCGCAGGCTTGTGAAAATCCAGTCCACATATCCCTCCGTCAGAATTTTTATCTTGGGAAGCCCAAGGTCAAAAGCATCAAGTTCGCTTTGAGACAATGCTGGCTCTTTAGAACCTGAGGATGGTATATCTGAAAACGGGGATGGATCACCATAAACTTACTAATAGATTCATTTTTGGAGGGCCAGTTTTAAGCCGAACGGTTAGGGAAACGAAACAAAAAGCAAAAACAAAACAGTGGAGATAAATGTTTATTGACACTACAAAAGTTCAGAGACTTTCCTAATCCTAATCCTTTCTGGATACCAGAAATCACTTAAAAATCTGTATATAATGCCCCCCAACATATACAACATGCATATTCATACCTATGTGTGACTGCTTGCGTCATGCTTTTACAAATCCTAGATTTTACTTTCCTTGAGTCAACGTGTTATCAAGAATCAATGGTGCATCAATCTGCAACAGCAAAATAAGCCCAACATCTTCTCCAATTACCTGCATTCTAAAAAAATTAAACGTGCTTCTAGTCCCCCCCCCCCCCACCACCAAAATTGGGATTTAAGTTGTTTTAGCCATTATACTATGCCCTTTAAATGTTCATGAGGCATTCCTGGGTAGCGGGGTGGGGGGATCCACCCAATAATAGAACTAAACTAGGTTACCTGTAATCAACTTAACTAATAAAATTTTGGATATAGTTTTGTTAGCTTTCTTAGAAAACATAATTCTTATACTCTATGGGCTGGGATAATCTTACACTTATTCAACAATCCAAAGTGCTCTGAGTAATTTTTGATACTATTAACTACCTATTCACAGGTATTCCTGCATGTCTTTACAAAATACTGCATTAACAAACAGCCAGAGATGGATACTAGGTTGTCCTCGGTACTTTCCTACAAATACGGAGCTCACAGTCTTTGCCCATCAGGTATGCCCAGTCTGGAGTTTTCACTGTTATTACAATTAAGATCTCTCACTTAGCACACATACCCCCAAATACCTGAAGATTTTCAATGTGGAGTCTTATACACGTTTAACTTACTGGAATCAGCTATGGACACTCTATACATTCTCAGAAAATTAATTCTAATAAACATGGCCCTTAAGTTAGGGAAGCCAAATATTTCATCTGATTCTCAGTTCAAGGACTAGCAATCTGATCCAAATCTGGAGGAAAAATTTGCGATGTGGGACTCATTGAGGGATAATATAGAATGCCTCCTGGGTTGGTAAAAGGTTTCCATGAGTGATTTTAGCCATGTAAGATTTTTGGCATATGCATAACAGAATGGGAATGATAGAACATCTATATAATTGAATATTATTTAGCCACTACATGATGATGTCTGAATTATGTAGAAATGTACGAAAATGTGTAATGCAATTATGGTATAGTAATTAATATGTACTATATGACTGTAACAATTTAAAAATATGTAGGTATGTTTTTTTGTAAAAGTTACCCTGGAATTATGAGTACTTTATAACATTTCTTCTTAGTGTTTTTTCTATATTTCTTATTAATGTACTTTTTTTTTTCCGGGCTTACTTCACTTTATTTTTCTTGTACAACCCTATGTTGTAGTCACCACTGGAGCCTGGGTCCTCTGCACAGAGACTCTGGTGTGGGTCTTGAGGAGGTGGTCAGTGAATTCCTGATAGGGAGACTTGGTGAATACAGTCTCCTTCCAGAGGTCAGGGGTCAGCCTGCTGTAGGCCTTAGAGATGGCATCAAAAATGACCATGGCGAAGTTGCGCAGGATGGCAGTGCAGCCCTTGACTGAGGTGTAGCAGTCATCCATACCAGCCATCAGCAGCAGCTTCTTGGCCATGGGGGCCAACGATGCCAGTGCCCCTGGGTGCAGGGATGACCTGGGCCAGCACTGAGCCGTCGCAGCCTGTCACCTTGCAAGGGATGATGTGGGGCTTGCCAATCTTGTTCCCCCAGTAGCCTCTGCACATGGGCACAATGGAGAGCTTGGCCAGGATGATGGCCCTGTGGATGGCAGTGGCCACCTCCTTGGAGCTTAACACCCAGATCAGTGTGGCCATTGTGCCGGATGGCAACAAACACCTTAAACCTGGTGCATTGGCCGGTGCGGGTCTGCTTTTGCACTGGCATGTCTTCAAAACTTCATCCTTGAGAGAGGCCCCAGGAAAAAGTCAATGATAACAGACTCCTTGATGGGTAGGGAGAAGAGACAGATCGCCTCCAGGGACTTAATCTTCATGTCCTTGACCAGGCGGCCCAGCTTGATGACAAGCATCTACTCCTTGGCCTTGGCCTTGCCTCCGGGAACTCTGTGGCTGGCCCCGACCCACTCCATGGCTGTGATCCCAGTTCCCCATCCCAGGGCCAGCTGCGACCCCAGTTCCCTATCCCAGGCCCCCTGCTGCACTGGCGTCATCCGCGATTTGGTGTCTTCTGGGAGAAGAAGCTAATGTACTTTTAAACCAGTAAAAGAAATGTTTATTTGACATCTAGTTTATGAACCTGTAACTTCTATGAACTCTGTAACTGAAGATATTTGTGTTTATCTTATATCTTTTATGTAAAGGATCTATATAATAAAGTCATCATTTATTTCAGATTCAGCTAAAAAAACTGATTTCTTCGGAGGAACTTCCATACTTTTCTTTATTTAAAAAAAAAATCAAAAAACAAAGCCATAAGAATCACATCATGCAGAATGCTTACCTTAGATACAGGAATTTGAAAGCTGCATTTCCGTGCAACAAAAAGCAACACGTAAAAAAGCAATACGTAAGAAACGTTTTTTGTATCTTGTAGCTTCTCAGTTCTGCTTTTAAATTCCCTTGTCTTGCTCTATATTTTATTTATGTATTTATTTTTGGAGATGGAGTCTCACTCTGTTGCCCAGGCTGGAGTACAGTGGCGCAATCTCAGCTGACTGCAACCTCCGCCTTCCAGGTCCAGGCGATTCTCCTGCTTCAGCCTCTCAAGTAGCTGGGAGTACAGGCGTGAACTACCACACCAGGTTAATTTTTGTATTTTCAGTAGAGATGGTGTTTTACCATGTTGGCCAGGCTGGTCTTGAATTCCTGACCTCATGTGATACGCCCACCTTGGCCTTCCAAAGTGCTGGGATTACAAGCCTGAGCCACTGCGCCCAGCCTCTATATTTTACCTCTAAACGACTTCAAATGATTACAAAAAAGTTTTGGAAAACAAGTAACAAAACCAGCACTCCTGTTTAAGGATCTTTTAGGTCAATTTTCTCATTCTGCCCCAATAACTGTACAAATCAGAATTCAGTTTCTAAAATTTGGAAGCCATCTACTTTGAATATTAACTATAAAATAAGAAAAGATTTTGATCACTACTCATAGTACATTTCTGAGTCATTTAACCTAAATTCATCACATTAACAATGAAAGATAAAGATTATCTAAGACAAAAATTGTAAGGAATAAATTTCCTATGTTTTTATGTATATAGTATCTTTCCTATGAGAACAAATTAAAGTTAGAAAGGAATATTTTATAATATGAAAAGTTGAACTGTATTCAATTACATTGTATTTTCATGTATAAAAGTTTAGAAATTTAAGAACTAACTATTTTGACCAAATATGTTAATCTAACAGCTTTAAAAGATCTTATTCATTCATTCCTTCCTTCCTTCATTTTAGAGACAGGTTCTCACTCTCTCACCCAGGCTGGAGTGCAGTGGTGCCATAGTAGCTCACTGCAACCTGGAATTCCTGGGTTCAAGTGATCCTCCTACCTTATCCTCCCAAGTAGCTGGGACTACAGGTGTGCGTCACCATACCCAGTTAATTAAATTTTTTTTTCATAGAGGCAGGGTCTCCTTGTGTTGCCCTGGCTAGTGTCAAACTCCAGGCCTCAATTCTCCTACCTTGACCTCTGAAAGTGCTGGGATTACAGGCATGAGCCACCATGCCCCACCTAAAACATTTTAAGTGCTATCAAGAGAAATCACAGTATTCTAAAGCTGACTTATTTCAGATGATGTTTCAGAACAATGAATTTTCCTATTTTGAGGCAAACAGAAGCAGAAAAGAAAACTGCATTAGCCAGGAAGATGTGAAAGACACGAAGATTTTATAAATGTGTGCAATCCAGAAGGGCTGAAGGAAAATTTGGGATTGCTGAAGGAAACCAAAAAGATTATATCAATAATACAATTAATAGGGTATATGAGAGACATATTTTTAAAATAAATATTCTCTATACAAAACAAAGCATGCTTCAAACAAATACAAAATATTTATTACACAAAAATGTCATAACTGACAAACTGCCAATTTGTTAAACATAGAAAAAGTACTAACATTTCATAACTCTGAACAAAAACCACTTTACCTTTTTGTTACTCAAGCTAACTTAACTCCAAGTTACAAAAGTTACAAAATTTTGGTTTAAAAAATGTCATTGTATGATTTTTCCAATTTATTTTGCTATGCTATGACAAAAACAAAATCTCTTTGAAATGTTTTGAGTATTTAAATAATGTTTGTAACATTAACTTATTTAAATAACTTTTACATCAATAATAGGCCAACACATATATTAAATACCTTCGTGGTAGAAGCAGGAATACTAATGACAAAGCCTCATGAAACTTAATACCTCTCAATTCACAATATAGCACAATAATCAATCTGACTAGGCTATTTATATTTAAAGAACACGGTTAGTCACTTTCTCCCTGGTATAACTTAGTATGTTAACATTCTTATCAACTGAGTAGCAATTTCATTATCTCATACTCTTCTCTGTATTCCTTGTCTCCAGGTTGGAATAGCCCTAAGGAGAAAAAGAGAAAAGCAATTGTAAATATATAGGAAATTAAAAAGAAAAAAACCCTATCTGATTAAATGCTAACTTTAAAATATATATATAACCTACCCTGCGTGTTGTTTGTCTGGTTCATACGGGCATGTAGGTTTGCAACCCTCATTTATTTCTTGCTCTAGCTCTCAAACTGATTGACTGACAAACCAATCAGTTAATCTACTTATTAATCTATCAATCTTTCATTCATTCTTTTTCAATACTACTCTTCTTATAAAAATAAATATTAACATGAAAAAGGCAGAAAATGGCATATACTAACATGAATGTAATATTTAATAGGGCATTGGGTACTACTTGTACTTTATTGATTTATTTACTTTTTTGAGATGGAGTCTCACTCTGTTACCCAGGTGGCACAATGTCGGCTCACCATAACCTCTCCCTTCCAAGTTCAAGTGATTCTCCTGCTTCGGCCTCCTGAGTAGCTGGGACTACAGGTGCACACCACCATGACCGGCTAATTTTTTTTGTATTTTTAGTAGAGATGGGGTTTCACTATGTTGGCCAGGCTGGTCTCGAACTCCTGACCTCGTGATCCGCCCTCCTTGGCCTCTCAAAGTGCTGGGATTACAGGCGTGAGCCACTGTACCCGACCTACTTTTACTTTTATCTACTGTTTATTTTTAAATAAAAGTGACCTGAAAGGCAAATGTATATATATTTTTTCATATATATGAAAAATATGTATATTTATATATATTATATATACTTACATATTATATAAATATATGTTATATATTTATGTAAAAAGATTTAGGTAAAAAACATTTATTATATATACTTATACATTATATATATTTTCATATATATGAAAAATATAATTTACACACAGTAAGTGCATAAAATATAAACATGCAGCAATTAAATTACTAAATGAACACCAATTCTCTTTCTTACCTATGTGGGATATGTAGAAGTGGCCCAGAGCCTGTTGGTCCTATCTTTTTGGTTCGTTCTTCCCAACCTTTTGTGGGTTTGTAAAGCCTAGAGGGATCTCTACTAACATTGTTTTCAACCTGTAATCAGAAGTAAAATAGTACCAGTTAATTATACAAACTCAGTTTGTACCAGTAAGTAAGTAAAAGGCTTAGTGCAGTTTTAAAATACATAGTTAATATTGGCTAATAAAACTATTAATAACCTCAGTAAACTTCTCATTGGGCTCATAGAGCTAAAGGAAAATTTAGACTACATCGATCTATTCATAAACTGTTAGTTTATTTCTTTTAGTTCTATTATTTTATTCTATTCTTATTTTTCTATTTCTATTATGAGAGAAATGTAATGCAGCTAAGTATGCTAGTGATATAGCCAGGCAACAAATTTAGGATAAGTAACTACCAATAAGTCTTCTGTTTTATCGATGAGGGTCACCAACATCTTCAGCTCTGAGTACTACAAGAGATTAGGCAATGCTCATAGCTGCCATTATCTAAAATAGAGGTTCATATAGAAAAAATTTTTTAAACGACAAGTAGGGGGAACAATAATTCAGAGTGAAAGAAAAATGACAGAATTCAAATAATGGTTGCTTAAATTGTACCAAGTTATGCTTGCTACTATGTAAATAAGTATGAAATTTAAAGTAGATGTTATAGAAATAAGATGAGATATAAAGGAAATAGATTTGATGTCAGTATCCTTACAAATCAAGGAAATAGGATAATAACAATAAAAATAATCTCAGTGCAGAGTACCTTTTCTTTTAATTTTGCCAGTCTTCTTTGTTTTTGTGCCTTTTCATCTTCCTTTGCCTGTCTATCTAGAATTTTCAATTCAAGTTTATGTAAATCCTTTAAAAAAAAAAAAAAAACCCATAGCATTAAGATATCATTTGAACTAGAATTTGTTCAAAATTTAGTTGTTCACAAGTAAAATTAAATTACCTTACCTATCAATATTCCTTCATTATTAACTCTTTCCAACAAAGGCTAAGAGCTTTATTTTCTCTGAATATAAACGTTAACACATGCACATCCTTTCTGTATTACTTTATTTTAGGCATCTCTTGTTTTACTTTAAGGTTCAACCTAAAACTCTCTTTTAATAAGTGAGTTAAGCCCATTTTCATTCATCAATGCAAGTATGTCTGATTTCAGATCTCTCTTATTATTTTATATTTTCTGTTTTGTGGGTTTTATTTTTTCTTTTATTACATGTCCTGCTTATTTTGGGGGTGTATGAGAAGGAATGGGAACTTTTGTTACTTAGGAAGATTTTTAAAATAAATGAACTAAAATTTTCAGTATTAATGTGCTTTGTCTGTATTTTTGTCTGTTATTTTTCTTTATACCTCCCTTAGTTTTTGCTGTACAAATGTTGCTGCTATATATTTTGATGCACATAACAATTCATAAGTTATATCTCATTTGCATGCTTTTTCATTTTAAAGTCCCCTTCCTTGTCTTAATACTTTTTGGAATGAATTCTGCCAGTGCGTCTTTATTAGCATTTTTCTTGTATATGTTTGTCTAAAATCACCTTTAATTTGATCACCCAGCAATAATCTCGATTCCTTTAAGTAGACAAGTATCTGCAATGCACTTAACTCTAGGGTACAGGGATGCTCAAAAAAACACACCACTAACGCAAACACACCACTAATGCCCTCATGTAGCCTACATTATGGTGGGTAAATGAACAAATAAGCAAGTCATCAGTATGGTAAAGCCGGGCAGTTTGGCAAAGAAGACAAATCACTCAGCCTTGCCTATGGCTACCTTTCTAGTCTCATCATCTGTTGGTTCCCCTCTCCTGCCTAATGCCTTAAGAATATTGAAGTGTTAATAGTTTCCATCACAAACCATACTGTTTCACTCCTTCAAGCTGCTATTCATGCTGTTGCCTCTGCTAGGAAGGACCTCATCTTTCCTTCCCTTCAAGAGTCAACCTAAGTATTACCTTTTCTCTGCCACTCATAGCTGTGGTAGTGTCCCTCCCTATACTCCCTCCTAAGTACTCTGTCCATACCTCAATCACCACACTCTTTAACATATTATGCTGGAATCTCCTACTTCCACATATCTTTCCCACTAGACTATAACCTACTAGAAATTAGGTAGCATGGCTTACTCATTTTGGTATACTAATGCTATATACAGGTTCAATATACAAGTACTCAATTTTTGCTGAACTGAATTTGGAAGTAATACCTCCATGTGTAGCATTTAAAAATTATTTAGGAAATAGATTTACTCACTCTTTCTTGAAATCTGGAAATTTCATCAGCAGCAGTTTTCCTTTTTTCTGCCTTTTCTGCCTTTTCCCTTGTCTCCTTTTCAAGCCTCAAAAATTCTTCCTGTTCTTTCTTCTGCTGGGTATAACTTTCTAGTAGTAATTTTAACTTAAACTGGCGCTGGCGTTCTTTCTGACGTTTTTTCTCTTTCTCTTCCTCTTCTTTTAAGTGGGAAGCATATTTCATTGACATTTCTATACTTTTCTGTTTCTTCCAAGCTTCAACTGCCAATTTCTGTTTCTTTCTTTGTTGTTCTTTTTGCTTTTGATTATCTTCTTGTTTATTATGAAAAAGCATAGGTGTGTTGTTTGCCTTTTCGTTTAACTTGAAAATTTCCTCCCTTTTTTGCTGCTTTTTAGTTTTCCAACTCTGAATCGACTAAATGATGTTTTTAAAAAAAGAAAGCAAAAGAAGAAAGTTTTTTAACAGCCAAAAGTATTTTCAAATACATCAATTCCATCTTTCTAGAAAAAATATTGATTGCAGGATGCTGGATGCTTAGGTTTTTCAGCTTTGTTTTGTTTTTAACCAATGCAATTTTTTTCTACTTCTGTTTTTTAAAAATTACTGTCTCTTAAAACTGTGAATCATGGGTTATCCTTTTGGCCTTCCTCTTTCTCTCTTAATCACCAGGTTCACAAGGACAACAACTCATGAACTATCCTTCTCCTCTTTACCTTTTTTTTTTTTTTTTTTTTTTGAGACAGAGTTTCGCTCTTATTGCGTAGGCTGGAGTGCAGTCGCACAATCTCAGCTCACTGCAACCTCTGCCTCCCAGGTTCAAGAGATTCTCCCGTCTCAGCCTCCCAAGAAGCCAGGATTATAGGCCCCAGCCACCATGTCCGGCTGATTTTGTTGTATTTTTAGTACAGATGGTGTTTCATCATGTTGCCCAGGCTGGTCTTGAACTCCTGACCTCAGATGATTCACCCACCTTGGCCTCCCAAAGTGCTGGGATTACAGGTGTGAGCCACCGCGCTGGGCCTACCTGCTTCTTTTATTTTCACGGGCAACATCCCTTTCCTCTAATCATCTCATTTCTGCTTCCAAATTCTCTTTCTAGGCTTAGAATACTTTCTAAGTGATCTTTATCTGGTCAAATATCAGAAGAATTAAGAGTAAGGTGGTTAAGAACACGAGTGCTGAAGCCAGACTATTTGGGACCAAATCCTGGCTTTGCCATTTACTAGGTGTAGCGTTGGATGAGCCACTAAACTTCTCTGTCCTCATTTTGCTCATCTATAAAGTGGTAGGTAGTATTTCTTAAACAGTGTTGTTACGAAGATTAAATGAGTTAGCATCTGGCACATGGTGCTTACTAGGTATGTATAAATAAATAAATAAATCAGCACAATAGCTACAGAGCTGTCTTTACATATGGGTATGTAAAAATTATTTCAAATTCTAGCAGGCTTCTCCATGCCATTTAGGGCATATTCCAAGTCAAGAAACTATTTCCTCATCTTTCCTTATGGTGTATCATTCATTCTACTCAATAAATCCTTATGGTATGTATATATACTATATACAAGGCAATGTGATAGGAACAATGAAACAATATTAAAACTACACCAAAGGCCATCTAGTACAGTGCTACTCAAAATAGCAGTCTGCAAAAATATCAGGAATTTGTGTCAAAAGGCAAATCAATGCACTGCTTCTTCCAATGTGAAAATTTTCTATGGAAAAAAAAAGCCAACTGAACTAAATAGTGTTCACTGCATAGTTAATTCTGGTACAACTATTTTATCCCACTGTAAACCAGTAACAGTTTGCAAACCCATATTTAGTCCATGGACCAAGTCTGAGCAGCACTGTTCTAGATGAAATTCAACATTGGCATACCACAACACATCATATAAAAGGTGTAAGTGTTAGTGAAATCCTGAGGGAAGCTACTTATGTTTGGGTGGGCAAGGAGGAGGCAACATTTGATCTGCGCCAATTTTGATAAGCTGGGATTGGAGGGGGAAAGAAAGAATGGAGGTTCCAGAAAGTGAGAACAAGATAAGCAAGGGCATTCAGGCCAGAAAGTTCAGCGCATGTCTGAAAATGTCAGTATAATATCTTCACTTATTAACAACACATGATATATTAAAGGAAGTGGGAGATAAAAATGGTAAATTTCCTACTCAACATCTTAAAACTCCCTAGATTTAAAACTGAACTCCTGATATTTTCCTCCAAACTTCCCTTTCTTCCTCCAACATGCCCTACTTCAGTAAATGGCACCTCCACTTTCACAAACCCTTCTATCTCACCCCTACATCCTGCTCATATCCTATCAAACTGATGACATATCAGTCATCAAATACCAGGAAATAGAGCAGATGGGAGCAAGGAGAATAAGCTAGAATCTGAGGGGTTTACTTTTATCACAAGAAGCAGTGTGTCTGTTTCTGTTTCCTAAAGAGGTGGTTTTCATTAGCAGAATAAACTAGAGGACATGGTAAAGCATAGATTTCTGGGCCCTACCCTCACAGTTCTAATTAGGTCTGGAGTTGGAGCCTGCTAAGTTCTAATAAGGTCCCAGGTGATGCTGATTTTGCTGGACTAGGGACCACTTTGAGAATCCCATGTTTTCAGTATCCTGGGGAAAAAAGCCCAAATGACTTATGTTTCAAACATTTTTCTTAAAACCTGAAAAGTCAATTTCCCTACATTCAATTTATTGCTGGAGGGAGGGAAGGGAATGATAAGAACAACAAAAATGCAGCTACTCCCTCTAAAACTTTAGACTAAACATGGACTCAATTATTTCTTTAATACTCCTTACGTATGCCATCTATGGAATAAACACAACTTTTTTATTAAACCAGGTAAGTCAAACTTCATCACCACTGAACTCCACAAAAAAAAAAAAAAAAAAAAAAAAAAAAATTGACTCTGATTTACTGTGGTTCTCAACTAGGGGCTATTTCTCCCCTCCAGTGGATATCTGGCTAGAGACATTTTTGGTAATCACAGTTAAGGAGATATTATAAGCATCTACTCACTGGAAACCAGGGATGCCATCCTATAATGCACAGAACAGGCCCCCACAACAAAGAATTATCTAGCTCCAAATGTCAATAGTATCAAGGTTAAGAAATATTGATCTAATGCAAAGCCAGAGTAATATTTTTGTAAAAATGGACATTTTTAGGTATCTGCCACAATCAGGTGTTGTTTTATTTTCTGGGGTAGCTAACATTTTGAGTCTTTAAAATCAGCAATATGGTTGAAGTTTAAAAATCTCAAAGAAATGTTTAATAGTCAAAGCATTTTTTTCTACTGCCTCTTGATGTTTCCATAAAAACAATGTGGCCTTTGCTGGTAAGATGACTTTTTTCAAAAGTCTCAGTGGATCTGGATTGCTCACATTTCTGAGAAGTGGATACAGAGGATTGGACCCATAATCAGAGGCTTTTTGTCCCATTTTGTTATTTGTGAGGGACACATGTTTGGCTATGAGGAAGTGCAAATGTCGTTCTATTAAATGGGTAAAATAACTTTCTTTTTTCATGTTTATTTTTTCTTGAGACTAGGTCTCGCTCAGGCTAGAGTGCGATGGTGCAATCACAGCTCACTGTAGCCTCAACCTCCTAGGCTCAAGCAATCCTCCCACCTCCACTTCCCAAGTAGCTGGGACCACAGGTCCCACCATGCCAAGCTAATTTTTTTGTATTTTTTGTAGAGACGGGGCTTTGCCATGTTGCCCAGGCTGGTCTCGATCTCCTGAGCTCAAGCGATCCATCCGCCTTAACCTCCCAAAGTGCTGGGATTACAGGTGTAAGTCACTGTGCCTGGCCAAAATTACTTAACTTCAATGACTCAGTTTCATCTTCTATTAGATTGTGGGGGGAGGGGAACTATAAACACACTTCATGGGATTGCTGTAAAGTTAATGAATGTTAAGTGTTTAGTACAGTGCCTAGGACATGGAAACACAGAATGAATAATAGCTATTGTAATTATTACCTCTTTTTTTCTTTCTTCTAGAGCCAGAAACTTTTGATACCATTTCTCATGCTGTTGAACTTCATCTTGTGTTTTTCCAGGAAGGTGTTCTAGAACTTCTTCCATAAATGTTGGCTTCCCTTTATGTTTGTTTCTCACCTTTACAAAGTTCTGGTGATCATAATCATCCCAGCCACCTTGTCGCCCTCCTGTTTGCTGAAGGAATTTTTCAAAATCTAGTACCTCTTCTGGAAGAGTACTTGGTGTTACTTTGTCTACAGGAACTTTGCTTGAGATTGCTCTGAAAGCTTTCTCTGTTTCTGAATTACCCAAAGCCCATGTGTCAATTTTTCTTGATATGGCACTCAACTCATTATTAGTTGTCTTCTCTTCTTTAATTAGCTCTTCATATCTAAAATTTTAAAAATAAAGTTTGAATAAGAAGACAATCCATATTAACCCTTCATTTTCCATCAAATTTAAGATACCTGACTCTTTATATCATCTTCTCCACTTAACATTATTACCATTTATAAATCTAAGCCTTAAAAGGGTCTCCTCAGAGATAAAAACAATCTTTCAAATTCTTATTTGGAATTTTATAGTAACTAAATATGAACAAAATTTCACTTTAAATATGAAAAGCCACCTAAACCCAAAAACAAGAAAGATATTATATTGCTTTTGTGTAAGACTCGAATACATAATAACAGAATGCATTGTATACAAAAACCTAGTGGGGCCAGTTATTAAAAAATAAAAGTCAATAATTTTATATTAAAACGAGTTTAAAACGTACATCAACCTCTGCTCTTCTTTAAAAGTGTTAATTGCATTTTCAATTTCTTCCATCATTTCTCTGAGCTTCTCAACAACTGTAAAAGAAACATGGAGAATTATTTTGTGTCATTTTCCCATATGGCTAAAAGTTAAATATTAGGAAGAAAAAGTAGAGTGTTCCCCTAATTTTAAAACATTTCTTAGCCTAAGGCATAAGAAAGCTGTGCTCAAAAGTGAATTTTTATGATTGCAATTTTTTCTGATTACAGATTTTTTCCCTATACACTCATATCATAATTATCTCCATTTTAGAGCTGAGGAAATGAAATCTCAGAGATATCAAGTAACTTGCCTAAAATTACATAGCTAACAAATGAAAGATCAAGGGTTTGACACAACACCTGATTCCTAAGTCCATACACCCTGAGCCCTTTAATTTATTGCTTTGATTCTCAGGAATGAATGTTACAGTAAGCAAGGAGGTAGGAATATAATTTGTGGGATTTTGTTCTAAACACTAGCATTTGTTGTAAATCTGTTTAACCTTTCCTTATGCATTAGAAATGCCTCTCAAAGATAATTATTTCAAAAAGCAAATGAAGGGAAAACACTGGATAGGATTAAGGAAATCAATCTTTTCTCCCCTTAATTAGCTGTTTTTAAACCTTTCTATAACACAGATTTCCCAATCCTGTAAATGACACTAGTATGTCTTCTGCCTACCTTATAATTTGTAAGGATTGATAATACTTTAACGGATATACACAGAAATGCCCAATTATAGTTCTCCACTGCAAACCTACTAAAGCCTAACTGATAGAGTTTAGCTCCATTAATAAATTTATTAAGTCCTACCCAATAAAGTATAGCTCCATTAATGCCAAATAGAAAATACTAACACGTAAGAAAGATTATAATATTTAAATTTACTTACAATCAGGTGTAGGCTTCACATCTTTTAACTGATGCTGCAGTTTCTTTACATTGTTATGTATTTTGGCCAATTGCTGCTGGATTTTTGCTCCTATAAGGAAGAAGTATGCCCTTGAAAATAATTCTGTGACAAATGTGGTTATAATTCAGGATTCTACATGTAAGACTGATCACTGTTAGTAAAAGCCTAGAGCAATTAAATAAAGAACAAAAGATAATTATTTATGTCAAAACATTAATACTTTAAGTACCTTTGCTCTAAATAAAGCATTTTTCGATATCTTCCAATATTGAAAAGCATAATGGGTTAAGTCTTACTATAACCTGTGCTAAGGAAATGTCTTTTTCTCCCCCTCTGTGTAGACTGAGTTATTGGACATTGTTTTAGATGTAAATATTAGCAGTTTCAACATTGTTTTGTTCTTTAATAGTGTTTCATTTCTTTTTAATTTGTTATAATTTATGGAAATAGAATTTTGTGTTAACTGTATTGTGGGAATATTAAAACTATCTAGCTAATTCTGTGAATACTGAGAAATTTCCCATTGAGAATTAATTTCATCCAACCAAATCCTCTAGGAAAGGGGCAGGTGATACTCATTGATATCACTGTCACGGCCCTGAGAAGGTGCCTCGGGTATCATTCAGTGGTATACTGTGCCACAGGTTGCCAAGCTCAACCAAAGGACCAGCCTGGAGTAAAATATTAGGCCCACAATAAAGCCTAAAACGTAAGTGAGAGTCTCAACGATGTTTTCAAATCATCTTTATCAGCATAAAGGATTCTTCTTTCATATTTTCTTTTCTGAAGGATTAATCTTACTTTAATATTTACTAAATTACTAGGCTAATGTCAAAACATTCACATTCCTATAATAGTAATATTATTATTTTATCATCTTAGGGTACTTTATGCACCCTCCTCTTTTTTGTTTTTGCAACTTTTCCACAAATGAGCAAGAAGCATCAAAGGCTCTGTATAAAAGTCCTTACAAGTAATTATTTTTTAGGAAAAAGTTTACGTATAGGTTTGCAGTCAGTGTGAATATCCAAAATAAACCTCTTAATATGTATATGATAACTTTGGCTTGTTCCGTGTTTTTCATTAAAATTCAAGAATTCCATAAAGGCAGAAACTTTTTGTAATTTACTTTGTAGGGTCTTACTGTTGAACTTTAGGTCAAGAAACTTCTCTAGTACTTAGGAAAGTGTTTTTTATTGTTTTATTTTAGCTTTAGTTTGATCAGCTACCAAAATATCACTACAGGGCTGATAATCTTTTTATTTTATTTATTCATTTGGCTATATAGACAAATCATTGAAGTACAGTATGACATAAATGCAGGCTAAAATTGCGGCATGATATTTGAGGTAAGGAATAGGTATTTCTACTGCTTAGCTGTACTATATGAAGGGAAAAGTTCTCTACCTTTATATTAAGACAAGCATTCTTTACTCTCCTAGACAGGAAAAACATAAAGTGTTACTAAATAAGAGCAAAACTGTAGAACAAAGGGAAATAGATTGGTACAAATCAAGTTGCCATAATAAAGGGAAAATCAAGTAAACTAAAATTTGCACAAAATTTTACTTATTGGCATTACTGAGACATAGAAAAATCAGCCTCCCAGTTGTCTACAAAATAACTGAGGGAAATAAAGACATATTGAATCAGGGGTGTCTAGGTTTTTCAATGTATCAAAGAGAAGAGATAACTAGAAATCTGGTGTTTATATTAGGTCCTGCTGTCATTCCAATAAAAGAAGGAAAATTACTCCTGCCACTGCTTGGCAAAGGATAACTTTTTAAAGTAGTGTAATATTTTCTTTTAAAAAATGGTGTAACCTTATATTCTGAAAGAAAAAATCACTAGGAATTTATTTTAATTGATGATAAGGGAGTATCATGAGCAGTCTCATCTCTTCACAGTAAGGCTTAATATTTTATAAAGCTTAGTTATTTGATAACCATTATTTTTCCTTTAAGAAATACTAAGCAGCTTTTTTATTATAAAGATTTTACAACATACAGAATCTAACACTACAATGAAACAAGCATTCTCAGAATTCTTTAAAGGTAACATTTAGTACACTATTGACAATGATTAATATGCATAACAAACAAAAGAACATAGTCATGTACAATCTATCTATAAGGTGCGTTTTTATATATTATCTCATCAGATGCACAGTATGGCTCTCCTGAGGTACAAGTTTTAGAATGTAGACAAGGAAACTCAGGTTTATGCAATTATTTGACTTGATCACTTCATACAACTACTAATTATAGCTTTGAATCTGTTGATGCTTACTGAATCCAGGGCTCAGTCAACAATGCCAGGGTAATGAGCTAACATCAGACAGCCCAGAAATCACTCTGCTTTTAAAAAATTATAATAGCATTTGCTGGTTTGTCAACCAAAAAAATCCCCCAAATCCTCTTTTTCTTGTTAAATTTGAAGAAATATACAACAGAAAACAATCCAGTTAGTATGACTAAATAGTGACCTGAAAGAATAAACACACGTCCCTAAAAGACAAATTTTACCAAATAAAATATAGAGAATATAACACAGTTAATACAGAACTGACTCTATAGAGAACACAACACGGTCAATGCACAAAGACAAAGCACAGGGTAAAACTACAACTTTATATCGCTCAACAGTTTTTAGTTCATCAGAAACTCAACTTACTTTCTGTTTTCCTGCTGTTAATTAATTTATTTTCCAATTCTTCTAGCATACTATGCTCAATTCTGAAGTCACTTTTTTGGTTGTAGAAATGACTGTGTTTATCTTTTTCCATGTTAATTACTCTTTAGGAAAAAAAACAAATAGTATAAATATAATTTAAATATATTTTTAATAGCTTAAAATATGAAGACACTTGATAATCAGTATTTTACATTTGGATTAATTCATGTATAGAATAAAAATAATTACTTTGGTTAATACGGCTAAGGAGTCAAAACATTAGTCAAAATAATTGCTGGAAGAGTTAATTTCAATCAAAAACAGCTATAATTTGAACTGCTATTTCAATCATAAAATGATAATTTAAGAAAATGTGGATATACATTTGCTTTGAAAATGCATAAGCTTTTGATTATTGATTCAAACTCAATCTCACTGGAGCCTGAAAATGACCATTACTGCTGATGACTGCATTCAATAGTAGATGCTATTAATTTTGTAACCTTAGCCGAGATGGTTAACCTCTCCCAGTATGAACCTCCTCATCACTAAAATGTGAATAATAACAGCTCTCCACTATCTAATAGGTCTATTATTCACATCAAATGAGATAATATATGTGGGAGATCTCTGTACAGTACAAGTATACTATGGAAATGCAAGTTATTAATATTATTAATACAACTAAAACTTCAAGAGACTAACCATCTACAAAGACAGGAAATTTCGTGTATTTAATGACTACTGTCTACATTTACTTCAGAGCTTCTTTCAGCACGTCTCTGCCCCTTGGATTTAGTCTATCTACCAGTAAGTTCTCGTTGTTAGTTTGCACCCTAAGAGAAAACAAAAACAAAATAAAGCACTACTGAGAAACTTTTTTGATTGGGCAAAGAAATTAATTTTCAAATTACATTTTTATTTTTATTTTTTTTTTTGAGACAAGGTCTGGCTCTGTCACCCAGGCTGGAGTGCCACGGTACCATCTTAGCTCACTGCAGCCTTGACCTCCCTGGCTCAAGCAATCCTCCAACCTCCGTCTCCCCAGTAGCAGGGACTACAGGGGCGCATCACCATGCCCTGCTAATTTTTTTTTTTTTTTTTTGGTAGATACAGGGTTTTGCCATGTTGCCCCAACTGGTCTTGAACTCCTGAGCTCAAGTGATCTGCCCACCTCAGCCTCCCAAAGTGCGTGAGCCATCATGCCCAGAAAAAATTAATTTTCTTAACGTGTTTCTTTCTCCCAGAAGGTGGAAATTAATGTGAATATTTCTCCACTAATCTAGGATTTAATAAGTGGTGGAGCATCTCTGGCCATTGACTTAATTCACACAACCTGAGAGGCAACTATACCAGTTTCCCAATCTTTTCCACTTTGCCACACATAGATAATTTTTTTTTTGAGATGGAGTCTCGCTCTGTTACCCAGGCTGGAGTGCAGTGGTGCGATCTCAGCTCACTGTAACCTCCGCCTCCCTGGTTCAAGCAATTCCACTGCCTCAGCCTCCTGAGTAGCTGGGACTAAAGGCACCCACCACCATGCCTGGCTAATTTTTGTATTTTTCGTGGAGACAGAGTTTCACCATGTTGGCCAGGCTAGTCTCAAACTCCTGACCTCAAGTAATTTTCCCGCCTTGGCCTCCCAAAGTGCTGGGATTACAGGCATGAGCCACAGTGTCTGACTGCCCATAGAGAAAAATTTAATATTCATAAGACACATGGGGGTAGACAGATGAGACTGCCCCAGAGCCCACCGCACTGCTCCAAAGGCTGAGGGGATCATGTCTTAGCATGTGTGTTTAGGTAACTTCTATTGTTTGTGAGAAGAAGTAATGGGTAGATAAAGATATCAAATAGATTTCAGTCCCACCTGGCAACTCTAATGGACTGAGGACAGATATGGAGTCCTGTGCTGAGGGCTGGGAAGTTCACCTAGGCTCTGGTTGTAGATGGGGAAAATTACTACGATAAAAAGAAACGTCTGCCATGGACATGGGATATGCTACAACTTTATATCACTCAACAGTTTTTAGTTCATGACAAACTCAACTTACTTTCCATTTTCCGGGATTAGAAATATTAACCTATAAGGATATTTAAAATATGCTAATTAATGGAGACAAGTTGACAAAAATGAAAACATGCTCAACCTCCTCAATAGAAGAAACGCAAATTAAAATTATCACAGTGACACTGCACACCTATCATATCAGCAAAAAAATCACAAATTTAATATATTTTGTTGACAAAACTGTGAGAAAACATGTCTTCTCACACATTGTTGATGGAACTGTTGTCTACAGAGGGCAATTTAGCAATATTTATCACATTGCAAATTCATTTATCTCTGACCCAGTATTTCCTTTCAGGAATTTATCCTGAAGATATACTCAAAAACAAATAATGTTGACCTATGTGGGGATAGTAATTAATTGCAGCACTGTTTGTTATTTAAAAAAGATTGAATATAACCTAAACATCCATAAATATGGGCAGGTTAATAAATCATATTACATTTATACACTGGAATATGATACAGTGGTATTCTGTTCTATGTACTGACAGAAAAAGATCTCCAAGATAACCTCTTTTTATAACAAAGTTTTTGTAAGAAAATGTTAGACATATTCAAAAGGACAGAATGGTAAATTGACCCCCATCATATGATATGCCTTTTATCTCACCCTGATTCAGTAGTTTTACCTCTCATTTCATCTATCCATCTATCTTTGCTTTGCTTAGTTTAAGTATTTTCAAGTAAATCCATTACATCTACCTTTGCTTTGCTTAGCTTAAGTATTTTCAAGTAAATCCATTACATTATGCAATTTCGCCCCAACAAACTTTTGTGTGTGCCTCGAGAGAGTACAGATATTTGACTTACCTAACTATAATGCCATTATTGTGCCTAGCAAATTCTACAATTCCTTGTTATCTAAGATATACACTTAAGAAAAAAAAAAAAAAAAACAAGATGCAGAGCAATGTGGACAGTATGCTACCATTTATACAAAAAAGGAAAAATCTGAATATATATTTATATTTCTTTATAAACACAAAAAATATCTGTGGAAGGATACATAAGAAACCAAAACTAGTGGGTTAACTGAATGGAAAGGAACTGGGTGGCTTGGATCAAGAGTAAAACTGAGACTTTCCACTGGGTACCCTTTGATATATTTTGATTTTTGAACCATGTAAACATATTACCTATTCTAAAAATAAAACCAAATGATATTATAGATAGTGGTTTTTCCTTTGTGTTTATGTGAATTGTTAGATAGAAACACTCTTAAAATGAGTTTTTCTAATATTCCTTTAGTGAGTTTTTCCAATGCCTTAAAACAGATGAAGAAGCCTTCTCAGAACTGTAAAACACACTGGTTGCTGTATCTATGGATATTAACCATTTGGTGGACATTATCTAGAAAGAAACATAAAACAGAACCTCTAACCTAGAATCTACTTCTATCTAGAGTAATGCATCTTGGAAATTTTAAATAATTGTATTTTTTTCAAATTCTGAATACTAAAGATATAGGTATTAACAACTTCAAGTATACAATACATTATTATTAACTATAGTCACCATGCTGTACATTAGGTCTCCAGGTCTTTTCTATTTTATAACTTGTACCCTTTCACCAACATCGCCCCATTATCCCCACTCCCACCTCATCACCCCCAGACTTTTGGTAATCACCATTCTATTCTCTATTTCTGAGTTTGACTTTTTTAAGATTCCATATATAAATGAGATCATGCATTGTCTGTCTTTCTGTGTATGGCTTATTTCACTTAACATAATGAAAATCTCAGCTCACTTTTCTAAGAACATTGATATTAAATATTCTCAACCCTTCACACACACACAAGGTAACTGTGTGAAGTGATGGATATGTTAATTAGCTTGATTGTGGTAATCATTCTGCAATGTATATGTACATCCAGACATCACACTGTAGACATTAAATATATATAATTTTTATTTGTCAGTTATACCTCAATAAAGTTGGGGGAAAAGACAAAAGTATTGTATAAACGCAAGGAGAATTCAATCTCCAAAAGCAACAATATGGTATAGCTTTTCAAAATTCTAACAGTACACTTTTTCATTGGTAGAATTTCTAAATAGAGAACTGCCACCAATTCTGATCCAGAGACCATTCCTTACAATAGGCTCCTTTTCTCATGTTCTTTGGCAAATTGATACTATGTAGGTTCAAAGCAATGTTTTGATAAAGCTCTCAACTGTAGGGTAGAGTGACGTGCCTTGAGTTCCAATTTTTTTTTAACATTCCTCATATTTATCATATGCTGGTACTGCTGACAACATTGAACATTCAATAAATATCACTGGTTGTTTAAAGAAGTTCATATATATTGAAAATTTTAAATAAGTGGAAGTTTCTCAAATAGCTTGGTCATAATGGGCAGAATGGATCTGAAAGGGGCAGAAACCAAGGAAGTGAGATCAATTAAAAAGCCACTCAAAAAAAAAAAAAAAAAAAAGTAAGAGTACTGACTTTTCATTAAAATGATTCACTTCTTCCTTAGTGAGATCACACCCACATATTCAAACAGCCTTGCTGGTGAACAGCACTGGTTAGTAAGAATGACGGCTTTCAGAGTGGCTGGAGCCAGCCTAGGAGTCCCTCAGATAACATTTATTAAGCATGTAACCTATGGAAAGATGTTTATCCTCTATGATCCTCAACATCCTCATTTGTAAAACAGGAAGAAGAACAATTTAAATATATTATGTTTGTCATTTATAAAACACTTTCATACATACATAATAAAAAAAACACAAAAACTATTCACTTCCTCAAAAACATTTACCAGGCGTTTAGTTATAAAGTGAAAATAGATTGTCTGTTATTTGTTATACAAAATCTAAAGAAACAGCTATTTTGTTTCCCTTGAAATACACAGATTCAAAATTGTAAAAATAAAACTGAAATTACTCTACTTACAATTAACTTTATATTAAATAGCCTATTATTTGTCCATTTCATACCTCCCATCTTTCTCTTGTTATATTTGACAGGCTAGTGATTACAATTTTATAACTTAATGTGAGACTAGGTAGGGTAGAGTAGAATTAATTTTTTATTGTCCATTATGAAATGGCTAGTAATGTTATTTGAAGATAATATTCTTATACTTACTGATTCTTAAATTTTTCTGCTGTGCGTACGAATTCTGCTTTCTTAGTCTGATTAACTTTCTGCTTCCAGTTTTGAAGATGAAAAGGACGAATTCCACCTGAAGTACTAAAACAGCCATCACTCTGCATTGAGAACAAGAAAAACTTAACAGTAATGAAAATAGTAAAACATAAATGTGGAATTTTTTCAGAGAGATAAAATGTCAATAGTTGAGTTTCTTGAAGGATAATTTTGGGGCCAATCTTATTTAACTCTTAGAAGTACATTTGTGGAAGAAGGAATATCTATCAAATGAAGGAATGTCTATCTTAAAATGCTACACTGAGTAAGAAAGGTTAAATATCCCAGGATTATTTGCAAAATAATCTAATTCATTCAGTTGGTCATTTAATAAGTATGTATTGAACACTACGAAGTGACATGGGCTGCATTAGACACTAGGGTAACAATCATGATCTATAATAATATGGCCCCTGTCTGAAGGTCTAGTGAGGAAAAACAGATCTAAAGAGAGAAGAGTAAACAAGCAATAAAATGAAAACTCCACCAGCTGCAATAAGTGCTATTAAGAAAATAAATATTAGGGCTCAGATGGAGAAAGCGGAGCAAGGGTTTGCTTTTTCAGTTACAATGGTCACAGGTCTATTTGAGGGGATGACTTTAAGGAAGAATGAAGGCAGCCATGACAGGAGCAGTAGGAAAGTGTGTTCTAAGCAAAGGGATCTACATGTGCAAAAGCCCTAGAGCATGAAAGACTTCGTCGAGTTCAAGCAGAGAAGGCCAACTGTGACATGAGATTAGTAATGGTGCGATCTTGGTAGGAGATGAAAGTAGAGAGGCAGGTACGTGCCAGATCATACAGGCATTTTAGGTCACCTAGGGGGTCTGGATTTTATTGAAGAGTTTTGAGCAGGGAAATGCCATGATACATTTAATTCTTTAAGAACAATTTTCTGGCTATTTTTTTTTTTGGAGAATAAATTAATGGGAGGTGTGGGGGTGGAGTGAGGCAAGATTGGAAGCAGGAGGATCAATGAGGTGCCTAGTACAGCTATAGAGACAAGGAATGACAGTGTCCAGGACTACTGGGCTGATAGAAAATAAAAGAAGACTCAATATATTTTGGAGGTATCACCGAGAGGGATTGCTGAGCAACAAAAATGGGTTATGGGGGATGAGGGGAAAAGGAAACAAGGCTTTAAATTTCCAGGAGCAAAAAAGAATAAAGTAGTAAATCTAAATCTAGGAAATATATTTTAAGTCAAAATGTAATTCACATACCATAAAATATGTCTGTTTGAAATGTACAATTCAGTAGTTTTTAGTGCATTCACAAAGTTGTGCAACCATCATGACTATCCAGTTTCAGAATATTTTCATCATACCAAAAAGAAACCTCATACCTATTAGAGGTCACTCCCATTCCCCTTCCTTCCAGCTCCTGGCAACCATTAATCTACTTTCTGACTATGGATTTGCATATTCTGGAGAATTTATATAAATGGGCTTGCACAATGTGTAGCCTTGTCTGACTTCTTTCACTTCACGTGATGTTTTCAAGATTCATCCATGTTGTACCATGAATCAATACTCCATTCCTTCTTATGGCTGCATAATACTCCATTATATGGGTCTACCACATTTTGTTTATCTACTCATCAGTCGCTAGCTGATGGACAATTGGGCTGTTTCCATTATTTGGCCAAATTAATCTGAACATTTGTGTACATGTTTTAATGTGAATATATGTTTTCAATTCTCTTCATTATATACCTAGCAGCAGAATTTCTGGATCATAAAGTAACTATTTTTTTTTTTTTTACTTTCCCATTTTAAAAAATTGGGTGGCATAGCGAGGCCTGGTGGCTCATGCCTCTAGTTTCAGCACTTTGGGAGGCCAAGGTGGGAGAACAGCTTGAGCTCAGGAGTTTGAGACCAGACTGGGCAACATAGCAAGATCTTGTCTGTATAAAAATTAAAAAAAAAAAAAAAAATTAGGCCAGGCATGGTGGTATGAGGCTACCAGGAGGCCACCTCAGGAGGCTGAGGTGGGAGGATCACTTGAGTCCAGGAGATCAAGGCTGCAGCAAGCCATGACCACAAAACTGCACTCCAACCTGGGACAGGGCAACACGCTGTCTCAACAATAACAACAACAACAACAAAAGGATTGCCCTTTTATTGTTGAGTTGGAAGCATTCTTTATAAACTGGATGTAAAAGTCCCTTATTAGATATGATTTGTAAATATTCCCCCCCCCGTTTTCTGAGTTGTCTTTTCACTTTCTTGATAATGCCTTTGAAGCCCAAAAGTTTTAAACTTTTTAAAGAATTGCCGGACTGTTTTCCACAGTGGCTGCACCATTTTACATTCCCACCAGTAATGTATAGGGGTTTCAATTTCTCCACAAACTCACCAATAACTGTTATTATCTGTCTTATTTATTACAGTCATCTTAATGGGTATGAAGTGATTTCTCACAGTGGTTCTTACTAGTCCATAATGACTAACGATGTTGAGCATTTTTTTCATGTGCTTATTGGCCTCTTATTTTAAGGAATGTCTACTTAAATCTTTTCCCTTTTAAACAATTTGGTTATTTGTCTATTTATTGTTGAATTGTAACAGTTATTTACATATGTTACTCAACTTTTACGGGAGGCTATTGTTTTGAACAGAGCTCCTGCAGTAGGCCCCAACAGACCAGACAAAATAAAAACAGTCACTCATGCTAAGTCCCACATGATCAAAATGAAACTTTGAGGAAATAGGTAGATTTCCCCAACTGAGCAATTTTTCCTGAAAACAAGAGATGCACCAATCAGAAAGGGTCCAGTCAACCTGAGTCTGAGTAATAAGAAAAGCCTCTCTGCTTTTACCTTCATAAGTTACCTGAAGTAAACTGATGTTAACCAATCCTCTTTCTTTTTTCTTTCTTTCTTTCTTTTCTTTTCTTTTTTTTTTAATTCAAGTGGTTGGGGTCTTCTTATGTTGCCCAGGTTGGACTCCTGGGCTCAAATGATCCTCTTGTCTCAGCCTCCTGAGTAGTTGAGACTATAGGCACATGCTACTGTGCTCAACTCCAATCTGCTTTTTTCTTTTTTCTTCGAAATATTCTTTCAAAATTGAGATTTTATTGTTGTGTTGAAAATCAGTACACACACATTTCAATTTGCAAACAATTTTTAACATAAGTACCAAAAATCTAAAATGCCATGTTTTTCCCACCCCACCCCCTGCAGATGGAGTTTTGCTCTTGTCATCCAGGCTGGAATGCATTGGTGCCATCTTGGCTCACTGCAACCTCCGCCTCCCAAGTTGAAGCGATTCTCCTGCCTCAGCCTCCTGAGTAGCTGGGATTACAGGCACCCACAACCATGTCTGCTAATTTTTGTATTTTAGTAGAGACAGGGTTTTGCCATGTTGGCCAGGCTGGTCTCAAACTCCTGAACTCAGGTGATCTGCCTGCCTCGGCCTCCCAAAGTACTGGGATTACAGGCGTTAGCCACCGCACCCAGCCACCATGTACTTTGAGAAGTTATTCCAATGACTTTCCAGCTTAAATATGGAGGGAAATTTTCCTTAAGAGGCGATCAAGTACCAGTATCTTCACGTGTTGTTAAGCTGTTAAATACATCCCAGCAACTCACAATTTAATACTATATACACTACATACTCTAATTTTCAATCTTTCACAACACACTAACAATGTTATCAGGAAAATATAGGACTACCATAACCAAAGGTGTCACAGAGTGCACACAATTCTGACGGGGAAAGCCATGATCAAAGAGTGGTTTTTATAAGGAAACAATTCTACTAAAAAATAACACGGGAATGGAAGTAATTTAAAATGTTCAAGACATTAAATGCAGGACCGTGACTCCATATTGTCATTTAGTATGCTTAGTATTAGAGGAAATAAGAACTAACCCCCATCTACAGAATGTTAAGCTGACACTCAAGACAGTCAAAGCCTGCCGTAATTCAATATTCTACATTATTATCTGGTTGTACCAAAAAATAAACAACCAGCGAATGATTTCACCTCTTAAAGCATTTACACTTAAAAAATAGGATGAGGTGGGATTCCCTCCTTCTTAAAAATGTTCCCTGAGTGACTAAAAAACTTACATTTACAAGATAGTTGATAAAAATATTCCTCTGGATTGTATAAGGAGGGAGACAGGGACTACTAAAACACAGTAGATGATATTAACAGGACTTGGCTTTTTTTTTTTTTTTTTTTTTTTTTAACCAAACTCATTTTATTGCCAGACAGACTTGGCTTCTTTCCCTCAGCCTTCATCGAACGCAGGACTCTCCTTGGTTTTAGTTTCTTTGTTTTCTGCAAGTAAGTCTTCTTTAGTTTCTTGGTTAGCCACTTTGGTCAGTTTTCCTTTTGCTCCCCTTTTGCCTTTGGTTTCCATTTTGTGTCTGAAGATTTATCCTTTCATGACTGCCTTTTTTGGCTTCATTTCTGCTTTTGTAGGAGCAGGTTTAGATGACAATTGCACGAATCTCCTCTTGGGCTCTTCCTTCACTTCCCCTTCTGCTGGGCTGACCTTCCAGTTGGGCTTCTTGTCAGCAGGAAAGGCGCCTGTCCGGTGCTCAGTGCGTACAAGCCCTGGTGTGCCAGCCTCTATGGAGCCGGGCTACCTGGCTGTTGCCAATCCTCCTGCCACCTCAGTGGCTGAGATCCCCACTTTTTTCTATTGTTTCTGGGGTTTTTTTTTCCTACTTTAGAGAACCCACTATTCTGTCATGCCCTGTGGAAATTCTTACCTATTTTATAGAATGGGATGCTGCCCCAATTCATGAATTGCAAATAAAAGCCTATTCGATCTAAATTGAACTAAATTTGTTGTAACTTTGTTCAACATATATTTTAGATGTAAGAACCTTATCAACATATAATTTGCAAGCATTTTCTCACATTCTATGAGTTATCTCTTAACTTTCTTAATAATGTTCTTTTGCAGCGGCGTAATCCCGGCTCACTGCAACCTCTACCTCCACCTCCCCGGTTCAAGTGATCCTCCTGCCTCAGCCTCCTGAGTAGCTAGGACCACAAGCACATACCATCACGCATGGCTAATTTTTGTATTTTTAGTAGGGGTAG